GGGGGTGAGTCGTTGGTATGAGGCGGCTGGGTGGTGGTTAGTTTGGTTGAGATGGAGTGAGAGGTGTGGGTGGGACTGACGAGGATTGTATGGTTGGTTGGTCTCGTGGATGTGGTGTTGTTTTCGATGTACTTGAGGAGACCGACGACACAATGGTCGATCTTTTGGAGTGTGATGATGGACTCCATGATTGCTGAAGCATTGGTTTTGGGAAAGAGTTGAAGAAAGAGGAATCGCTTGATGGGTTGCGTTGTCAGAGTCGCGTTTAGGAGACGTATCGTAGTAGATGTATTTTGAAAAACACACGTGGAGGAAGTTGCATGCACTCTCACTCAGACGCACGCAGCTGGTGAATATTGCAAAAGGTGAATCTTCTATACCAGCGTTAGCGAAGCATCGTAGTCTCATGATGTCAAAGTTCGCTTCACTTCCAACTGGCGGCAGTGAGATGGATTGTAACCTCATTTGCAGGGACGTCAAGTATTTCCCAACCCGTCACATGAAGCATTCTAAGAGCGAGGTACCAATTTGATTACTGGTAAGGATCTCGCTAACTTGCTGCTGATTCTCAGATGAACGTATATGCCTCAATTAATTATATGAATACCGGCTCGCAGTAAATGCTAAAACCCAAAACAGCCTCGCTTAAATGGATCCAATCCAGAACTTCACTTCACCTTTTCTCAGACTCAGTCACCATTTCTCCACCTCACTTTGAAGCCTCTTTGACCTGACTTTTCTTCCCATCATCTAGAATATCCTCAGATTTTGAAAACGTCAAGCGATTTCTAATCTTCTACCCCCTTCACCCCTCTCCAAGACGTCCAAGAAAGGTCATCACATCCCATACAAAATCAAACCCCAACAGATGTATCAGGATAAAAGTTACAGTAGGCTTCAATGTAAGACTTACCTCCAAAGCAGCGTTCGGCACTTGGAATACGATTCCATGGATTCTAAGATTCTATTCTAAGGTGGAATATTCTAAAGGCTCTCTAATTTAAAATAGAATATTCCAAAGGATAAGGCCTTAGAATTTGGAATTCCAAAGGATATATATATATCACTATTTAACTAATAAGAGAGCTCTATTTATTATAAAGTGAAGACTAAAATTATGATTTTACCTACGCTTAATTAATTATTGCCGTCTCTTGTATATAACTAAGGTAAATCCGAGTGGTTTTATAGTATTTATACTACTTATACGCCGAGTCTACGAGGCGTAAATATATATATTTAAGGCTCTTTTACATAGGGTGAATATAAGTGGGTTTAAAGTACGTATACTAACGTGTGCCACTAGTATAGGAGACGTAAATACAAGTATTTAAGGCTCTTTTATACTATTATTATTATAGTATTAATAGTATAGATGCGATTCTGAAATATTAATATGGTACTAAGGCTAGGTAAGCTTTTTATTAATTGCTCGGACCGGAACTACCTTTTTTACAGATCATGTAAGGAATTCCAACTAAAATTCTAAATATTCCACCCCTTAAAATAGAATATTCTAATACTTATACTATTTAGAACAGAATATTCTATAGGGGGGCCTTGGAATAGAAAAGAATTCCAAATGCCGAACGCTGCTCCAAAGACCCAATGTGGGAGGAAATATGAAGAGACAAGCGACACGTCTAGGACAATATATTTTGAAAAGAGGAATGTGTATTCTACTTCCCCTTGCTTTCTATTAACATACCTATAGGTATACTATGATTTTTACTTTGAGTATTTTCGAAGTCTAGTATAACGACATTTTATATGGGATATGCAGATTAATAGCCATCCATGTATTATACATGCCGGGAAGTGTATCCCCTACTGGCTATCGACAGAAGACTTTGCCCGAAGTCCAGAGACTATTAAATTCCTCATATTGCCCATGAAACAAAACTACCATGACACTTCCCCGCATTTTGAACTTGGCAAATTCCAAATAAGTAGTTGAGCCAAAGATTATAGGTGAGAATGGAGGACGCGATGGTAAGCTAAGACCCGGGTAAAGGAAGCGGGTGATTTCCCCGCAATTTCTTGTGCCACGAGTCTTCCAAACGTAGATACTTACCTAGTAGTAAAAACTTGAAATGAAGCGTGTGCCCGTTACTTTTTCCAATTATCGTTCCCAAGATGTACAGAAGGGAAGAATGGACTGATCCCGATGAAAGTTGGAGATTTCTTGTTCTTGGAAGAATTACTTGTATTAACTCGGTACATCATCACGTACTGCTCGGCATGAATATCCCATCATCTCGCTAACAAGAAAATCCTCCAGGAAAGATTCGAAGAGATGAAAAACTGAGTCAACTTATCCCGCCGTCGACAAGCTCAAACCATCCCAAGATACCTCGTCTCAATCTTAGACGACTTCTTCGCACCCTTAACACCAATATAAACCACCTCTCCAGGCACAACATCAACTAAATTATCATCAAAAACCACCCCATCATCCTCACACTCCAATGCAACACCTTTGATCACCACATCAGCGCTAATCTCAATCGACTTTCCGTCACTGCTTAATTCTGCTTGAAGTCGCTTAGGCTTTTGCAGATGCAAATATTTCAAAGGCTCTGGCCAGTTGATGTACCTCGCAATCTGCTGTCCATCTTGAAAGAGAAAAGCCGCCACTATTGTTCTCTTCTCCTCGTCGACGTCCTTCTCTCGGACTGGAACGAGGAAATCAATTATTTCAGTGCTCTGATTCTCTGGGAGAAGAAAAGCTGTTTTCAAGGTCTTGGAATAGGTTTCTTCTCCCGTGACGACGTCGAAAGCTTTTACGACGACATCGGCTACAAGATCTTGGAGAGTCAGATTCGAGCCCCAGATTTCGATCTTCGTGATTTTCTTTACGAAGGCACTGGTGTGTTTGTTCTTGGGTACAACATGCTCCGTTCTGGTAACCCCAAGAGACATGGGTGCCATCTCACGCTTGACAGTATAATAAGCATGTTTGGGACGAAGATAAAAGTCAACAATGGCCCAAGAAGTGACTGGCCAGCAGTCATTGATTTGCCACACGAGAGCACCGCCGCAATATTCTCTTCCCGGACCTTTCCACTGTCGTTTCCACAGCCGATATGCGCTGGCTAGACATTCTGCTTGCATGAGCTGAGTGCAATAAATGAATTGCTCCAAAGGATCGGGTGCATAGCGGAAATTTTCAACAAGATAAAGGGCAATACGACGTTCGTGTCCGTCAGCTTTGTTGTGGAAATCGACCGTGGACGATTGAGCGAATCGATCGGGGTCGTCTTTGCCGAGGGGAAGAAACGCTTCAATTGTCTTGATATTTGGAAATGCTTCCATGCCAAATTCCGATACGAAGCGACCGATAAGCTTGTCAAAGTTCTGGTATTTTTCCTGTGTGCCATGCCAGACGTTCCATTGATGGATATCTCCAATCGTTGGATCTCGCGTATCTTTGCCACCCCATGGACTGCCGAAATGGTAGTATGTATCCGGTATCAACTTTTCGCAGGCGTCTGCCAGGATCTTTTCATAGATATATCTGGCAGGGAAACTCGTTTTGAGCCAGCTTTCGGGGTCTTTATTTTCGAAATCATAGGTGAGACCCTCAGATTCCTGGTACTGATAGTCCTCGTTGTTCCCAGCCCAGATGACAATGGAAGGATGATGTCGAAGAAGTTTCACATTTTCAACTGCTTCTTTCTTTATCGACTCTAGGATCTCGGGAAATGCTGGATAATTCCCGCAACCAAACATGAAGTCCTGCCAGACGAGAATTCCAAATTCATCACACGCATCGTAAAATGCTTGCTCTTCATATATACCACCACCCCAGACTCGAATCATGAATTGATTACCTTCAGCAACCAGCTTGACCCAGTCACGATATTTCTCCTTGGTAATCCTAGGGATGAAATTGTCCGCAGGGATCCAATCACTGCCGCCGCAGAATAGTGGAATGTTGTTCACTTGGAAGAAAAAGGTAGTGCCTGGTTGCTCGTTCATTGGGCGTTGGATGAGTTCAGCCCTTCTCAAGCCGAATTTCTTGAGCACTGTACTGATTTCGGTTTTGTCCTGAATGAGAGTTGCAGTAAGAGAGTACAAGGGTTGATCTCCGTAGCGAATTGGATACCAAAGTTTTGGATCTTCGATGGTAAAGGTATGAGAAGCGACGTTTTTAGTTGACTCCACCGTCTCTGAAGCAATCTCTTTGCCGTCAAACAATATGCTGAACTTGACCTCAGATGCATCTCCCTCAACATCAGCCTTAGCAACAATATTGGCTGATTTGAGAGATTTATCAACACCTGAGGTAAAGTAAAGATCTGCGATTCTGGAGGAAGATATTTCGAGATTGATCGGTCTCCAAGGTCCGCAAGTCATAAGCATTGGTCCCCAATCCCATCCCTATTTTCAGATTAGCTTCTTGCCAGTACCCAAAGGGTAAGGTAAATACCCAGTGGTACTGCGCCTTTCGAACAGCAAGTCTTGAGCTGTCACCATTCCAACATCCCCAGTGATGATCAGGATATTTCTCAACCAGAGTACATCCTTTGAGGTAAGCGCTCTCAAAGGTAATCTCTAGCTCGTTGTCTCCCTCTTTTTTCAGATATGTTGTAACGTCCACTCGTTCGGGCAAGAACATGTTTTCTGTTTTCAAGATTTCATTGCCGTTTAGAACCACCGTGGCGAATGTATCCAAGCCGTCAAAGGCCAATGTAACTGTCACGGTTCTTCGCTCCTCTGTGGATAGAACTGGTGATGGGAAGCTGGTCTTGTAGATCCAAGGAACCTCTCCGATCCATTGAACGTCATTCTCATTCTTTCCCATGAATGGGTCAGGAATGAGGTCGTTGGCAATGAGGTCGAGATGGACATTGGTCGGGAATTGAGCAACGGGCAGAAATTTGTCGTCCTTTTTGTCTGCCTGTTTGAAAGTCCAGCCCGTGTTGACGGGAATGATGAGATGCTTTGTCATCTTGATGAATGTTGCAAATGGTGGTCTGGAAAAGAGATGTTGATATTTCCCCAGAACTCATTTATACCCCGATGGGTAATGTGAGAAATAAAGTTTGGCAGTATGTCTGCACAGTGCCGTTTCAAGGGTGATGCTCTTCCCAGAGGTCAAGGATTATGCTATCGGGTATTTTGAAGATGCCTGCCTTCTACTGTAACGGAACGCAAGGGCTCGATACTATTCGATGAAATTCCCGTTCTAGGTTCATGTATGGATTATTTTCAATCCCGGTTCTCCTGGGCTCCTTCTGATCTAGCGGTGGGTGTTCAATGTATTGGTTAGTGAGCGTGGGGGATACTCGTATGTTAGACGTGTTCCACTAGTGAATTGAGGGGTTGGAGGGGTAGTTGGATAACAACAACACAACTAGGTTCACGATTGTGGGGCACGATGCTTGCTCAGGAACCATAGGGCTGGGGCGATGTGCAAGAGCAATGCTTCCGAGTTGATGTTTACTTCAAATCAGGTAGGAGGGACTTTTCTCTTCGCACGGCGAGGTTCCGAGTAATCCATGTCCAGCTGTCGTCAAAAGGATTTGTGGAATGTGATGAGTTTCAAAAGCCTTGATGGCCAAATTGGAAGTGTCCGTTGCGGTTAACAAGGCAGGGAATGATCCGATTGGTTGTCATTATATGGGGTTCCCGCTCTTCACCTACAGTAGCTCCTCCCATTCGGCTGGAGTGAAATAGCTGGTCATAGTCATCTTTTCAACTCCTTCAATTTATTCATATAAACATCATCACATTCGGGAGGTTCGGTGCGGCATCCAGCTGTGAAGCAAAAATGCATGGCCGCATTTCCTGCACAGAAATGCAGCCTCAACCCGATCGGTCACCCGAAAGACCCCCGCTTGCATGGAGAAAAGCAGAGAAGTGAACCCGAAAGCTTCCAGAAAAGCACTTCAGTCTATATGAGATTGAGGGCGATAATTCTTGAGAACGTTCTAGCTAGGCTTCCTAGTTTTGAAGGTTATTTTTCGAAACAGCATTTCCAAATCGAGACCAAATTTGAGACTCCTCCCTTCACTATAGCTATGGCAGGCAACACTGGAGAACTTATTGCTCTCATCAAGCCCACCCCCACGATATCCTTGCTGTCCCTTGTTAGGTACGGTGGTACAAGAGTAAACCCTGGAACCTCACGGCCATCGGTATCCATACTTGTGGGTCGCGAATGCGGAGGGTGAGCCTCCGCATTTCTCGATTAGGAATTAGTTCACCTCGTCCTATCTCTTATCCAAAGGATTTCATGGTTGGGGGGTGAAATACTCCGGATTAAATCTCAACCAGCCGTCATATGCTTGTATCGTTTGTAACATCATTATAATTTACCGCTCCTTGAAACAAATTGAGCGCCGTTGTTTCAGCTGTTCTGGCAAACGATATGACCGGGGACTTAATAGATTGCGGAAAGTCTTGAAGTTATGTCGTTACATACTATTATTAATTTGGTGCATCTTCCTGAAAAACTACTTTTTGAAACTTCATAGACACCGCCCCCCCACAGTGAAATGCCTGGTTATTACTCTGTATGCACTATATAAAAGGTTGTAATACCAAGATTCTAGTATAATCAAGATAATAGTCTTACTGTAGTATACTTAGGCTAAAAAAAGTAAGCCTTAACAATTGTTTTAGACTCGTTATATAACTCTTTATAACCATTTTAGTTATGCGGCACTTTTAGAATAATATTATTCTAAAAGATGCTTTTAAAAAGTAATAACCACGAATCCGGAACCTGAAGTAAAATTGTCCTCCCATCCAAGCCCAGCTTAAAGACATGTTTTGATTCAGCATGATTTTGGCTGGATTATATGAAGGTCATAGAACGATTAGCGAATCCTAGATACCATCGGCATCATCCAATATCAATCCCAGTCTCAATCTAAACAAATAAACTATTTCCACCCCTAAGACCTTTCACATGTTAAGGAAACTAATCACGTCTATTCATATGGCAGATTCCCCTGAGAGGCGTAGACAACAAGATAAGGATATTCTGGTCATGATACGAGAATCATCTGATACTTACAGGAAGTGTAGGCTGAATGTGCCTTCGTGTTTCACCTGAAAACTAGATTAAATATTGGCTCAGATGTCTCTTCATAATACTGCCTAAGCTTGCGGACATATTCATGATAAGTAATCCGGATTTTGTTTATTAGAAGCATATCATCTTTTCATCTGTTCAGTCCTCGGAGGATCCGGTTGCGTGTTTGATAAGAGGATTGTTACAATGGACCACGTGAAGATGACTACTTTTCATGTAGATTATTTATCCTATCTTGCCATATACCTTCAAAAATCAGAGATCCGTACCCTATTGGAAACGAAAGGGGTTTGTTCACATGACAAGCATTAGTAAGATCTTGTATCCGTACTTCCACGCCAAAACAGCTCCAATTACTTTCCACCCTTAAAAAGGAAGAATAATACTATTAAACCCCTAGATGTGAATTATAAAATACAAGCTATTATAATCTGCAAAACAACCCCCTAATTCGAAGAATCTATCTCACCTGCAATTATACTCCCACCAACATGCCACGTAGAGAATTATAGTGTCTCCGTCGGGATATCTATACTTTACACTTTACATCCACCTCATCTACTTCTTATACGCCTTCTCAATCTCAGCCTTATACTGCTCCACGATTCCCCTTCGGTTCAATTTATTCGTTGCGGTGACCAATCCCTATTCAAATTAGAACCCCAAAGCCGAAAAGACGTACAACCACAAGGTAAAAATTAAGAAGGGGGAGACTCACATTAATAGGCGTCCACTCCTCATCCGCCAACACAATCCCCACCACAATCTCCATACTCGCCAATCCAGCTCGTCTACCCACAGCTTGAACTTGTTTCAGCACTTCCGCCTGGACCTTCGCATCGTTCACGAGGTCACCGAGACCGTGGCCTTCGACGCCGATGGATTGGGCGAGGGCGATGAGGGCGGGTTCCGCGGGGACGATGATGACGATGGGGTTGGTTTCGGTGATGGAGGCGTAGACGCAGAGGTTTGCTACGACGGTTGCGGAGCGGTATACGGACTCGAGCTATGGTCGTTTCCGTTAGTAAAACCGTGATATATTATTCTCATATTAATGAGATCTGAAAACAGGGAAGAGGGGTAGGGAAACGAACCTTTTCTAGAGCGATATATTCTCCATTCAAGGTCTTGACCAGATTCTTTTTTCGGTCGATCACCTTCACGTGCCCGTGCTTGTCGAACTCTCCAATGTCACCCGTCATGAACCATCCACCCTCCGCGATGGCATCTTTCGTCTGTTGCTCATCTTGGTAATACCTTTTTATCACGCTAGGACCCCGGATCCAGATTTCACCCTGGGGGTTGGGTTTGTTGGTCGCGTGATAGCCTGCATCTGGAAAGTCTACGAGTTTAATCTCGATGGTTGCTGGGATGTCTCCGTGTGCATCTACTGTCCAGGCTCCGGGATTGCAAAGAGCGCCCATACTAGATATAATTTTAGCCAAATGGATTGGAGGTTTAAAGGCGAGTAAAAGATGCTTACGCTGAGGTTTCGGTCATGCCGTAACCGTTGATCATAGGTGCTATACAAAGCGAGATGAACATTTGTGTTTCACGAGCTACTTGAGCAGCTCCGTTCATACAGAATCTTAAGCGTCCACCGGTAGCTGCTTTTACTTTGTTGAAAACCAGCATATCCAAAACTGAAGCTCCAGGTAATCCTTTCTGCATCAGAAACCTAAGTTTGTCAGTTTTTGTCCCGATGCATCCATATTTGGCAAAACATACTTCTTCTTAGCATAAGCATTCCAGAATATCTTCCTGGCAAGAGGACTACCCTTCTCAACCTTCGCAATGATCCCTTTCTTGACCTGTTCCCAAACTGCTGGAATACCAACTAGAAGGGTAGGCTTGAATTCTTCAATATCACCCTTGCAATTCCGGCAATTTGCTTGCGAAAGTGTTCGGATAGATCCATAACCCATGGTTCCACCCCAGTAAAGACATGCGTTCTCAAATACAAACTCGAAAATATGGGCCAAGGGTAGATACGTTAATAGAGAGTCTCCGGGTCCCAAGTAGTCTCCCACACAACTGTCTGCTCCAGCAACTAGAAGATTGTTAATATTGCGACCTCACTCATTTTCTATATCAAACTTACCAGCGGCCACGACGTTTGCATGGGTCAACTCCACCCCCTTCGGTGCTCCTCCAGAACCAGAAGTATACATAATACAGGCAAGATCTTCAGCTTTTGGCGGCACAGCACTGACTGGGTTTTTAGCGCCCATTTGTCTCAATTCCTCATAATTAAGAACGGTCAGTCCTTTATGGGAATTTTTCAACGTCTCTAGATCAGCTTCATCGATGGCGTTTTCAGCATCTGTGTTATAGATGATGAACTGAATATCCTTGGAATCTTTCAAAGTATTGATGAAAGTCTTGATGAGATGAGGTTCCAAGAAGATAGCTTTGGCTCGAGTAGCTAGTAGAGATGAACGGAGTCCTGCCTCACCAAGGGTATCATATGCAGTGACTATCGCCATGGATTGTGACATGGTTCCGTGAGCCATAGAAAGCCAGTGAGCACTATTTTCTGGTTAGCTTGTTAATAAAGCTGTCATAAATCTCTCACCTCGTAGAAGCAAACATATGCACTCTATCCTCCGCCTTAAGACCCAACTTTCTCAACCCCGCACCCAACTGCAAAACCAAAGTCTCATACTCCTTAAAACTTATGTACGTATAACCACTCAGCTCAAAATAAGTCCACATCTTATCCACCTCTTGAAGCTCCCCGTTGACCATCTTCTTGACTTTCTTGGTCTCATTGTGTTTCTTGATGAGTTTTCTTGAGCCTACAGCCTTTTGATCCCCAAACTTCTTGGCACTGTTCTTTACAATGTCGAAAACGGTAGCTATGTTCTCCTCATCCGGTGAGATTATGAGCTTTCCTGGTGATCGGATGCTTCGGCGGGGTATCGTCTCACCAGAGACGGGAGAGTAACCTGGAGCTTCGACAGTAAACGGCGGCTTGTTTGTCATACGAGCCTCAAGGACCGCAGTTTTCAGATTTGGCGCCATAATTTACGTCCCTTGTCACTTGCGATATCTCAGTTGAAGTTGGTTGGTGTTTAGTTGAGGTTGCGAAGTGAAAATTCGTGGAATCCACGGCCTTTTGGTTCAGTGGTGGCTTAGGCCTTGGAAAAAAATGTGCTGACTGGTTACCTCTATTGGGTGAACATTCACGGGGCCAATCAAAGCTTGTTCTCGGATTGAAATTACGAAGTAATGAGCCAATGAATGGGCCAAGAAATCGTCAAGGAAAGTAAGATGTTACGCTGCAGGGGGTTGAAGATGTTGATGATTATACCTCGGAAGCTTGTGATTGGTTACCGAAAACCACTTGACTGCTTTTTATGCCGTGTCACTCCACGTATATAAGACGACAGGCTGTTATGAACAATCCATATATTTACTCGAGTACAAATAATCAATGGGTATGAGAAGTTCAGCAGCCACTTAGATCCTTGTAAGCTAGGGCTAGCTAGAAGTCCTGATGCAACTGATTGTTTAGTCACTCGGCTACTTCGCAACCAGCCTTACGGAGACATTACAAGGTAGTCAACGGCATCTTCGTATCTCGTATAACAGACTCGGTTGCGCTGCCAGCTGGTGCCAGTCTGAAATAAGAAATCTGAAATAAGAAAATTGTTCGTTTGAACATTCGGAAAGGATGACGAGCAACCATAACGAAACGCGAGGGCATTTACCGTCGTGACGCTATCCATCCGAGATCGCGAGTGACGCGTCATCTAAAACATTGGACGAGATCGAGCATAAACGGTTTTTTCATACCAAACTCTCTCACCACTTGCCACACTTTCCGAGAACCCGGAATCCTGTGATGCCCCTCAGCAGCAACCTTCGTACTTCGCATAAGCAAACCCGGCTTGTATGGTACTCGTATCCCTGGAATCCCAAGACTTTCTCCAGCTTCTCAAATTAACGAAAGTTGAAATGACCCGGAAAGTATCCGAATATCAACCAGAAGACGAGTCCAGAGTACAGATAAGACTGGCAGGTGGAGGAGAACCTTCCTCAAAGTTGTATGTCTAGGCCTGATCATTATGGGGCGAGGGGTACATGGTATGAACCGTGTGAAATTGTTTCTCTTGATACAGAAAACGACTGGACCGACACCCTCCGATTACCTTTCCGAGCGCCGATGGAAATCCCGTCCAGGATCCCCCAAATTCCCCAGATGGGAAAGTTTGAAGCTCAACACCACGACAGCCTTATTATGCTTCAGGTACGTCTCACGAGTGAGTTCCATCCTGCGTTATGCTTGCAATCGGTCCGCAGAGTTCAATCCAATGCTTCCATAATGATGTTACCGGTAGGCGGCGAGTCTTTCTTAAGTATAACAGCTATGTTATCGCATTTTCACTTTTGAAATCTGATTCTTCGATTTCTCCCTCTCTCTTGATCCTCCAAGTGTACTCAAGTATCTATATCTATATTCTATACATCTCTCTCAAATCAAACCAAATCTCCAAAATGTCTCTCAGTCTCACAAACCTCATCTACACCACCCCCTTACCTACTTTACCGACATCTCCGGATAACTTCCCAATACCTACAACCGTTCCAAATGCTACCATTCCCACCAGACTCCCCACTTCAGCACTCTCCCTCCCTCTCCCAACCATGGCAACTACATCTCTTCCGCTAGATCCGTTGCCCATCAATTACAATTTCACGACTACGGGTGCTTCATCGTCGACGGGAACTGCAATGTCAACCCAAACCATAACGGTTTCCGCTTCTCGCAATCACTCTCCTGGCTCCCCCAAGTCCGCCGGGACGGATCGAGAGTCTACATTCGGTCTCTCAGCAATTCTCCTTTTCGCTTCAGTTCCTCTTTTTGTCTTCTCTTATAGTGCCACTTTATATCGAGATGATCTCTAAACGACCACATCATGAAAAGCAAAGCAAAGTACATGCTCATCGCTCATCGCTCTCCCGAATATCCGATTTTCAGTGGGTCCAGATCCGGAACTTCAACATCATCGAATTTATTTGCGTTCGCCTTGCAGGAATTTTCCCTACCAGTTCGTGCGGGCAAAAGTTATATATCGGCTCGGAGCAATCTGTCTTGCTTTCCTTTTCATTGGAGCGGTTAAACATGGCTAAATGGGACCATCACCAGCTGTCAATGGCGGGGTCCTGTACTTAGTGGGGGGTAGCTACTGCATCGTCACGTAACCACCATCATAGAGCTACAAAGCCCCTAATCGACCTGAAAACACCAAATCTTCACTCCACCAACACAATATTTCACTCCTCAATATCTGTTTTTTTGCTTCAATTTCAGACCTCACAAATTGACTACAATTACAACCAAAAGAAAGTAACAATGGCAGAAGAAAATGTAAGTAACCCCTCATTTACACACCAACTTACAACACACTAACATCACATCCCCAGAACCTCTCCTTCATCCTCAACAAACCCTTCGATGTCTCCTTCTCCGAACGTCCGAAGCCCACACTCAAAGACCCCCACGATGTCCTCGTAGCAGTAAACTACACAGGAATCTGCGGTTCAGACGTCCACTACTGGGTCGAAGGAAAAATCGGCAGCTTCGTCGTCGAGAAACCCATGGTCCTGGGCCACGAATCCTCAGGAACAGTAGTACAAATCGGTTCCTCCGTCACATCCCTCAAAGTAGGCGACAAAGTAGCCCTTGAACCCGGAATACCATGTCGACGCTGCACCGCCTGCCTATCAGGAAAATACAACCTCTGCGATGACATGATCTTCGCCGCCACCCCTCCCTACGACGGGACCCTCACGGGCTTCTGGGTCTCCCCCGAGGATTTCTGCTACAAACTCCCCTCGCACGTCTCCCTCCAAGAAGGCGCCCTCATCGAGCCCCTCGCAGTCGCAGTCCACATCACCAAACAAGCCTCCATAACCCCCGGGCAAACCGTCGTAGTAATGGGCGCCGGACCCGTGGGACTCCTCTGCTGCGCCGTCGCCAAAGCATACGGAGCCTCAAAGATAGTATCCGTCGACATCCAACCCTCCCGTCTAGACTTCGCCAAAGACTTCGCAGCAACCCACACCTTCACGCCCTCACGCGTGTCCGCCGAAGAAAACGCCTCCAACCTCCTCTCACAAACGGGACTCGGACAGGGCGCAGACGCGGTAATCGATGCGTCGGGCGCGGAACCCAGTATCCAGACCTCGATCCATGTCGTACGCCGTGGAGGCGTCTACGTGCAAGGCGGAATGGGAAAACCCGATATCTCATTTCCGATCATGGCGCTGTGCGCGAAGGAGATCACGGCAAAGGGAAGTTTTCGGTATGGTAGTGGGGATTACAGGTTGGCGGTGGAGTTGGTGAGTAGTAGGAAGGTGGATGTTAAGGCGTTGATTACGAAGACGGTGGAGTTTGCGGATGCGGAGCAGGCGTTTAAGGATGTGAAGGAGGGGAAGGGGATCAAGATCTTGATCAAGGGGCCGAATGAGAAGGCTTAGGGGGTGGATGGTATGAGTGATGAGTGATGAGGAGTTGAATGTGGAATACATGATTTGTGCTAGCCGCAAGTTATTTCATGGTTTCATTTCTTTGGCAAAAAGCAGGTCAAATAATTTAATGAACATGATCGGTTTTGAAAACAGCACTTTGGAGTCCACTATCTTTATGTGCCAGAGGTTTCGTTGACATCTTACTCTTTTGAACTGAACAAAGAGAGGAAGTCAATCGATACTCACCTCTTATGTACTTGAAGTATATCACTCTACCTCTGATTCACTACTCGTAATCCTCCAACAATGCACCATTGCAAAAGGCCTCCAATCATAAGGTAGACAGACATTTAAGCCGACCTGAGAATTCGGACTGGTAAGAAAAACACTATTATGTATTCTATCATATCTATGTAACCACCACCTATCAACAGTTCCCTCTCCCTAAAGACATAAAAAAGCCCCACCATGGTATAAGCCCCCAACTTTCAAGCAGCTAGTCATAAAAATCATAATTCCATAAAAATGCCATGAACCGTAATCCAACACATGGACCCAATACACCCAAAGAAACCCGCTGGCTCAAAAAAAACAAGGGGGACGGAAACGGAAACCAATATTCACAATCATAAACATTCCCTCATTAACAACACCCTCCTCTTCTCCTCCGATTACTTCCACTCAACGTGAATACCTCCTCCCATTCCCTCATCCCACCACTTCCGATTCCCCATCCCTTTCTCTTCCGACGTTGTCTCGTACCGACACTCCCCTCATCAACCGTCATACCACTCTTAACACTCGCTCCATCCCCTTCTCTACTCCATCCCGCATCACCGTATTGTATCCCACTCATCGAATCATCAGGATCGATTTCCCCGAGTTCAATCTTCGTTAATATCATCCTTGCCAGTCTCCCAAAAACCTCATCTACATTCTCCCCACTCAACGCAGAAACCTCTACCGAGACCGGGACATTATTCGAACTCGCCCATCTGCTCGCTTCCTCTTTACTAACCTCCCTCCCATCCGCAACCGTCGCACGGAGTTGGGAGCCTAAGCCTAGATTCATATTCGACGTCGAGCTCACGGAGTTGTTGCCGTTGAAGGGAAAAGAGGAGCTTTTGCTGGAAACGCTGGAAGGTGTATTGGGTGGTATGGAAGTATCGATTAAATTTGCATTCTCGCATGCGTCGAGCTTGTTGCCTACGAGCAGGAGGGTAAGGTCGGGGGATGCGAGAGCGCGAGCGTCGTTCATGAAGGAGGGGAGGGCGGTAAAGGTGCTGTGGGAGGTGGTATCGTAGACTAGAAGAGCGCCTGCTGCTCCGCGATAGTAAGATCGAGAGACGGATCGGAATCGTTCTGTGCCTGCTGTGTCCCAGAGCTGGGGGTGTTAATACCATAATTCTATCTGTGAGGGGAAGAGGGGTCGAAGGCATGAACGTACTTGGAGTTTTATTCTTTTCCGTCTGGCTCCCGTGCCAACTTTTATGATCTTGCTCGCGAACTCGACACCGATGGTCTGGGAAGAGAGGACCCGCCATTCGTTCTTGACAAATCGATGTAACAGACAAGACCTTGTATTCCGGTTAGTTCTGATTTGTTTATGGTGTTGAGGGAGTGGAATCTAGAATGAGCAACGTACTTTCCACTCCCACTTGGCCCAAGTAATATGATTTTGGCGAGGTAATCATACATACTCCCAAGCTCCTACTATCATCAGCATCACTGTTCTTCCCTCGCTTCTCCAACAACGGACCTGATCTCGAGGCGCGCCGGCACTCTCTTCGCTTGCGGCACTCGACCGCCTTGGTCGCACCATATTTGCCGGTATATCCTCTCTCAGAACGGTTCTCGTGGTAGAAGTTAGATGTATATGCAGCGATTTGATCAGTTGGTATGGTAGGTGTGCGCCAGGGTAGGTCGTTATGTTGAAATTTCTTGGATGCACGATGTCGTTATGGGGAGTGCTTTTCCAAGGTTGCGCTCCTTATCTTGACCCGCTTCTGATTATGTGATGCACAGCCACACTAACTTAGCCACAGCCACCCACTTCTCGGGGTGATTCACGCTCAAAGCTCGACCTATACAGTACCGTAGCTCTCGTAGTAAACAAAATTTCCAGGAGTTCGTTTAACTACCTAGTATCGGTCTAGCTTATTGCTAGGGATTTGATAACCTTCGTATATGTGTAATATAACAGTCAAAAAAAGTTAAATATTAGAAAAAGAGAACAGTCTATTATCTCCTACACTAGATTACAAACCACCCCCTTTACCTGCTAGTACGACTATTCTACCTAGCGCCGCATAAGCGAGCTCGCTCTAGCTCTAAAAACGGTAGATAAGAGGGGGTAGTACAAGGACGGGACCAGGGGACGACAATAGCAGCGAGTATCGACGCAAATATAGCGGATTTAGCTGATAGCTGAAACCGGTTTTATTAGCTCGGATTTGGGGGTTCTTTCTTTCTTTCTTTCTTTCTTGCTTTTTTTGAGGAGTCTTTAGAAAGGGGGTTTTACTTCGTCGTTATTTTGTGTGTGTATGGCCTAGAAAAGATACTTAGTATTCCGACTTGGGACTCCAGGTCGGGGTGAGTTTCTTCCAGAGGGGGATATATGTGACGTCCCCGTCCTAAAGTTTACATGCGGGTGCCTAGCCCCCCTTGGTAACTTGGCTCGGATATATCGCGTACTTTGTACTCAGGACTCCCTTATTCTGTTCTTAGTTTTAGATCCTCCTTCGCGAACTAGATAGTATAAAGGCACTTTGTTGACGGTTCTCACAGAGAAGGGAGTATATTATACCCTTTTACTCGTTCCTTGAAGCTTTCTGTAATCGTGTGAAACCTTTAAGCTAGCCAATTTGAACATCTCATTTAAGCGGAAAAGAACACGGCGGTTAGTATTGGAACCAACATTGGATTTGAAAGACTATACAATTACCAACGCCCTTAAGCACATCGTAGTCCGAAGCTCCTCCGAGTGTTCGGCTTGCTTCAATAGAGTTTATAATGGCACTGAACTACTTATTTTATCCGCCGTGTGCCCGGTGAAAGCAGGTTACTCCGTCGCTAGCTATAAGTTCACGTAGAAACCATGTTAACTTGGGGCAATGAATAAGAGAACGATTTGACTGATACATCATCCAAAATGAAGATTGAAGGTCGTACTTTTGTAGTTTCTGGCGGGTTGGTCATCCTATCTTTTTGGGGTGACTCGTGCTAATAACTTCCAGGGCTTTCGGTCTTGGTCGAGCATGTGTCGAGGATATCTGTAAGGCAGGTGGTTACGCAGCCATTCTAGATCTGTCTGCAGAATACGCAGAAGAGTTCAATCAAGCTGTTGGTGGTGGAAAAACTAAATTCTTCAAGACCGATGTCACTGATACAGAGAGTATTGCTGCTGCCGTCAAGGGAACTTTGGAATGGGTAAAGCAGACTGGCAAGGAAATCGGTGGAGTTATTACTGCTGCTGGTACTGCAACGTTTGGCCCGGTTAGTACATTTCTTCCAGATATCATCTTCGAGTTTGTTTTCAAGTTCTGGTTGTTATATTTCACAGAGGAAGACATTTGGATACTTACTCAGGTACACTGCTTTTCGAGAGGTATCGTATTGTCATGATGTTGGCGGAAGATATTCATGACACGCCAAGTGGTGTTGCAGATGGAACCCAATGTTTCTTCTCTCGAGGTCTTTTGACTTCTTCATCTTCTGGAACTGTCCAACTATGGAGCCCTACTACCTGGAGTTTCAAGCGGAAAGAGGCCTCGATCTACAGCTGTACCGACCTGTAGTTACAGGGTCTGGTTTTATGTTTCAGGAAACTGCTTGACCCAAAGGCTGCACCCAACAAGCGAAGCGTCACTTTATTACTTCTAGATCACATATTTCTCTTTCCGCAATAGGTATAATCGTTCCCGGTCTGGTGAAAGCAACATTCATTACTCTCCTTTTGATTTCCAGTTTGATTCACAATTCCACTTCTCTGTTTGTCCCTCGCTAATCACCCTCATAGATAATCGACAAAGATCTCAAACCTTTCTCTCTTCAAGACCTCGACTTCGTATTAGCCGCCAACGTCCGCGGGACAGTTGATTTGATCCGCCAAATCGCTCCCCATCTGGCCCGCACCACCCCTGTTGGCGCAGATGGAGAAAGGGGAGTCGTCATTATGGTCTCAAGTGCCTCAGCATTCGATGGCCAATCTGGACAAGGTATTTTTACCATATATCCCCTCAGAAGATATCCAATAATCAAGATACAAGAGGCCAGTACAAGAGAATAAAATACTAACTTCCACAAGTCGCATATGCAGCATCTAAGGGTGCGCTCGTGTCGCTCACACTCCCATTGACTCGGGATCTTTCACCCCATGGAATTCGTGTCGTTACCGTTGCACCTAGTTTGTTCAATTCGAGAATGACTTCTGTGTTGTCGGATGAGATGATTACTACCCTGAAGAAGAATATGGAGTTTCCTCGTAAGTCTAACCTATTTCTTATGTGGCAATGAGATGTGGCGATAGGAAGGAGCTAACTTTTCATAGCACGTCCGGGTCAACCTCATGAGTTTTCGTCGCTTGTGATACAGAGCATTGAAAATGTCATGTTGAATGGTGCTGTCATTCGGTTGGATGGAGGATCAAGGTTGCCTGCTAGGATGGAATAAGGAGAGGGTTTTCCGTTCCCGAGTCTTTGGCTGGTTCTTGGACCCTATGAGTATTGCAAAATGGGTCGTAGTATTAAGCGTATTGTTTTGATACAATTTATCCACGCCATTTATCCTTCTTTCTCTGCTACTCAGTCAGGCCCATATAGCACTAGACTTTCAATAATTGCCCACTTTCCGTCTGAACACTAAAACCAGCTAGGGCCCTCTACTTATGTTACGATTCCGCGCCTATTCATGTTTATATCAGAACTAGAGAACTCTAAGCTTAATTTTACAAATTCTTAAAGCGGGTCCTAGGACGCAAGAATACATAAGAATAATACGTTTTAGACTACGAAAGTATTAGTTTTATAAATAAATATAAGCATTTCTAGTTTATCCTCTCTTTAATAAACTTTATAAAGATAACGCTACTCTAAAAGAATCTTCTCAAGAGTATAAATTGTTAGCTTCATTCTATTTATTAACTATATAATATAGATATTTTTCTTAACTCTCCTCTTCATTGTTTTATCGAGAAGTACGTCAGTAACGTTTTGTATAAAAAGATCTCTAGGCTAGTCCTTAAAGTTAAGAACTATACCAAAGCAACTATTTTGAGATCAAATATATGCATCTGGTCCAACTATGCAAACATCAATTTGGAAAGTTGCGTTTCACACCTTCAGATTCCTCACGCATATCCCAGTACTTTAACCAATACCCAAACGACCTATTCTATGTAACATCGCATCCCATCCATGCAGCCAACCTATCAAAACGCTCGCTTGCCCGGCTTATCAGATCCGCCCGCCGACCATCCCACCCCTCGCTCAGATGGCTTGCCTTGGTTGGGTTTACCCCACTTTCCACCTTCACTAATACAGTACTGTACTTCAACACCTAGGGGTATGTCAACACCTACATCAAATCAATCTCTGTCTCTCCAATCCATCAATACCTTCACGAATCAAAACAAACGAGACGAATAAGCAAGGAAAGAAAAGAAAAGAAAAGCAAAAATGGTCCAGAAAGAAGCAGTTCTCACGGACAAAGCTCCGGCTCCGTTGGCGTTCTTCTCGCAGGCTATTAAGTGTCAGGGAATGGTTTATTGTTCGGGAAGTATTGGAGGTGAGGTTTCCCTTCATTTTCTTTGGTATTTTGCAAGTTGTTCTATTCCTTCGAGGAGCATTGGTTTCAGGAAAGCTTGTCAGGCGTTGAAGAGGTGGATGGACGAGGCAATTCAAAGACGACATTTATGGTGGACTTGGGTTGGCGATTGAAATGAGGTGGAGTTACTGTGATCCCTTAGACATGGAGTGGAGGATGTGAACTCCCTATATAAATTTCTCAAATTTCTCCCAAAAATTTAATTACAACCTTTCGTAATTTTTTTAGCCACCAAGAAACTAACACCATACAAAGTCGATCCAGCAACCGGAAAGATCGTCGAAACCGGAATCCAGGGACGCACTGTATATATCCCCTCTTCCCACCAAAACAAACAAGAAACACTTCACTAATCAGACTCCACGTATCAGGAACAAATCCTCAAGAATCTTGCAGCAGTACTAGAAGCAGCCGGCTCATCAATCGACAACTGCGTCAAAGGTATTCCCTCACATCCTTTCACATCCTCTTCACTTTCCCCTTTACTTTATCCACTTGCCACCTTTAAACGCCACGAAATTCCTACTCATAAGATAAAAGTCAACGTCTTCATCACCAAGATGGAAAACTTCGCAGCCATGAACGAAGTCTACGCCAAGGTATTTACCAAAGACCCAAAGCCAGTGCGAACTTGTGTTGCGGTTTTTGAGTTGCCGCTTGGTACGGATGTGGAGATTGAGTGCGTGGCTCATATGTAAGGTTTGATTCTTTGTTCTTAGGGAGAAGCGGTGATGGATGATTTTTTAGAGGGTGAGAGATGGTGAGTGGTAGGCTGATTGGGAGTAGGGGAGGGGAGGGAGAGAGAAGCAGGTTGTGAGGATGGGGAAATGGAAAGGTGGAGGATGATTGGGAGGCAAGGGATTGAGGGCATCACAAGTTGAAGTTAGCCAAATTTTCAAGAATTAAAAGTTCCGTACTTGTGAACACTCCAATACAAGAATTCAGCCGGGAACAACGACTGGTCCTTTGATACAGTATGCCTTGTGCTGACACACGTGATCTCCTCATCGTTGTGTAATTTGTGGTTGGCGATCACCTCACGGCAGCTCAGCCTCACTACATTACGTTTCTAGGAAACCGGGCTCAAAGATATATAACCAACCTTTCTGAAATCGTACTGAACCCAAAACTAATTGAGCCCGGATAACTGGTGAGCTGGATCCAAAGGGAAACCAAGTTCTTATTGACAATGTCATCGCCGCCACAAGAACCTGGTCAAGAGCCTTTGGAAACTGGCGGTGCTAACAATGTTACTTTATCGACTGCCTCCATTGAGTTACAGTCAACATCATGGCGTTGGGAGTACCTCCCATCCTACCGACTACTCCAGCTTGATGTTGAAACATACCTCATCCAAGTCTTTGGGGAATATAATTTCTATATTCATGTATGCGTCCTCCAAGATTCCCATTTTTTATCTGGTATACTAATCAAAAAATATCTCAGTGGTGATAATTGGGTCTTCTGGGTTCCCCGAGCTCTATCGGATGTAAGTAGAGGGAATCGTGACAACACTGATGCCACAATATACCCATAGCAACCTAGCTTACTAACATAAAACAAGGACGAAAGATACACTCTATTATCTCGACGATACCTCCGCAGGTTCAATCGACCCCGACAAGAACCAGCACCTCCCGCTTTCGCACATACGTCCATCCAGCATAATCATATCCTAAGAACTATCTTACCAGTAGAAAGACTGGGAGCACCGTCTTTGGAACGATGTCGAGCTTTTGAAATCATTCTGATTTCCTGGTTTCCCGTTGCGGTTGTGAGTCTTGGGACTGGTCTCTGGCGCTCATTTGCAACGGGTGGTGAGGGCAAAGGTTTCACGGATGCTGCATGGGTTGTTGCTACTGGGAGTGTGGTACTACTTGCCGTGCAGAAGATACATGATCGACGGTGTAAGTTGGTAAGGTTAGGGGTGGATTAGATATATACGGAGATATGAATATGTAACGATCTACTTTGACGACGCCAAGCTTGAACGTATACTTCTTTGGCGAGTAGCGGGATTTTCATTTCTCTGTTGACGAGAGAGAAATGTTAAAGCGCTCATAGTAAATAAAAAAGAAGAAGTATAGTGATTGGATATTTCGATTGCCAATGAAAATAAGGAATGAATAGTTGATTGAATTATATGGGAGCAGTTAAATCAACGCACTCCCCCCTCGCCTAACATATGGTCCGAGCTTTTAGTATGATCTTTAGAGAACTAACTATATTTACTATAGGTAGTACTTGAATATTATCTCCTCGACTCCCCGTATGTACATTTTAAAATTTCAGGTTCAAGGCATCTACTTTTAGTCTTGGTACCTAACGATAGCACTTCTTAGTTGGCGCGGAGTATGTCGGACCAAGCCCCGTAGCTCGCCTAAATAATATTCCGACCCCCCGACCGCCTGAATAGGAAATCGTAAACCTAAAATTTGAAATGTACATACGGGGCGTCGAGGAGATAGAGTGAGCTACACTGAAATGGAATTATACGGCGTTGAAAAAGGATTGCTTGTTTACTTCGCGGAATCTCTCACACCTTGTTGATTCAAGCACTAGTACCTGACAATCGAAAGGACTCTGGCCTAAGCATTTTGATATCAATACATGTCTAGCTCCCTACTCTTACTCTTGTGGAGCTCGGAAAAGCGTAAAGGGGGTGGACAGCTAAGAGTACACCATGTTATGCAGATTATATCAAAACCTACTATATAAGGGGCTCGTTTTAAAAGCTTTTATACTGTTTCTTAGATAGTTTTTTCTCACTAAGCAGTCCGATTACGCGTTCTATTAGCTAAAACCCTATGTTTTAGGCTAAGATATATCGTATAAGAGTGGACCTATAGTAGGTTATTAATCTTATTACTCTAGTGGGGCACTAATCTTAGCTATCTACCCCCTTTACTTATAGCTACCGTTAAGGAAGGTTAGAATTCATTTTACACTAGTCTTAGTATTACTACAAAGGGGGCCTTATACGATATTTTTTATAGCCTAAACTTATCTTTTATAACTAGTTTAATATAGGCCTTAAACGAAATCGTTAATAATTATATATGAAAATATACCTAGTAGGCCGCTAAAAAAGAATAGCGTATTAATTAGATTATAAGATATTAATATTTAAATAGAAAATCCGTCTAAAGGCCTATTTAAACTATATATTGTATACTTGTAGAAACTAATATCTTATTACATAATTTTACCCTACTTTTTATTATTATTTCCTAGCTAGTCTCTTAGCCTCTCTCTTAGTATCTGTGAGAGGCCAGACCTTGAACAACTCAAAGGTGAGGTTTCGAATATTCAATTAAGAAGTGCGTGAAGACTACATACCTGCAAGCTCTTCCTCTATATATAGAGAGAGGAAGAGTCTCTGGAATATTCCAGGAAGCTGCCTAACGAATACATGATGTCAAAAGAATAGAACAGAGAAGTATGGAACAGCAGAGACTTGCTTGGCAGTGGGGGAATGGCCAGTGCTGAGCGGGGACTTTGGTCAGTGCTTAGCGAGGGCATGGCCCGAGCCTCCATCATGGGTTTCAACCCTCACAGTATCTCTTCTAACCTTTATATTTACTTCTAACTATATCTAACTAATCTTTTACTTTAATCTATTCTATATCTATTATTTAAGTATATTTACTTTAGAAGAATAAAATAAGGAATAAGTACTAGAATTAATCTAAGAAGAGGTAATAAGGGGTTAGTTATAGATTAAGCGAGCAATAGTAATTATAATAATCTCTTATAAAGATAAGGATACTAAGTGTCAGGACTTGTAGCAAATGCTGATGAATTGAACTACAGAGGTTGTCTATGTACAAGAAAATTCGATTGTCCTTCCCAAAGCAGCTTCCCAGCCCTCTCTATATACCACAGAACTGGCTACATGTCCTTTACCAATACTCTAGAAGGTTCCACCAAGTCTGCTTAGAGGTCACGTGCACATGTCGCTGGAGCACTCCGAGACTCACTCCACGGGTGCAACCCTTGACACTAAGGATATATTCGATAGTAATAAGGAGAACTATATAGATATAGATATAGATATAAATAAATAAGTTAATAAAATACTAGGTAATATATAGGGTATCTAGGAATAACTTTAGTTTTTATAAAATTTATATAACTTAGCGTTTTTTTATTTATTAACTTTAAAATATATTCTTAGCTATCTAGTACTATAATTAGAAGTGTTTTAGCTAACGTAGTATTATTAAACAAAGCGTTTAGAAAATAATATAAAATTATTAATTTAAGATTCTAGTCTTCTTATGTCACGAATCACGTGTTCACGTGATACCTGTCATAATAAGAGGAGCAACCCTCGACAGGCACATCCAGGTTTCTTATAGTAAATAGGGATGCTTAGACTAGCTAAGCGATCCAAGGATTTCTCGTGTATGTAGTCACGTGATCAATCGCATCGCCTGTATCGACAGTCGATGTTAGCGATGTAGAGAGAACGAAGGTTCTATATAAGACTGGCACGTCTGCCATTAGATAGGAGCTTCATGCTCAACTTAGTTATCAATCTTATCATATTAGTTTGACATCTTTGATACAAGTAACGAGTTCACTTCCAAGTGAACAACCCGATAGTCTTCTTCTTATCATAGCATACCAACCAGCGAACACCCAGCCAAGTTTAGTTAGCCAGTTTGAGTATTCGTTACATCTTATTAGTTAGAGTTATAAGATATTAGTATTTTAGATAATATAGAACCATGTCTACAAACGTAGTAATATCTTATTTGTGTATAATATCTTATAATACAATTAATACGGTATTATTACTCTTCCCCTTTAGTTTTATACACGTAATACCAACAATTTGTGTAACTCCATAGCAAAGCCTCGCTAGGACATCGCTAGGACAGCGCTAGGACAGCGCTACGGAGGGTTCTCTGCGCAACATCACCGCACAAACAAGAGCGACCTTCATGTGAATCCTTATTCGGATTTCTCCTACCAGATCCGGTCTCTCGCCATCCTCATCTTCATACCAACGAGAAAATACACGAAAGATGGCAGCCATAGGTGCCATAGCTGCCATAGGCACCATAGGCGCCATAGGCTCCGCAGGGATCTTCTTGGCAGCTGGGTTCCCAGGTCTGGATGGACTTGGGATCAATACCAGAGACCTCTTTTCAAGCGTAAGTTTCAAAAATCATCATACTAGTGTCGTTGAACCAACTAGCATTTACTAAACAATTCTTAGTCCGAACGGCAACCATCCTCTTCCCGTGACAAGAGGATGCGTATACACAATACCAGAAAGTCGAGCCAACGTTTTCGCATCAGATCTCAAGCGATGGAAAAGTACTGCCACCAAATACCCAGACAGAATGGTATACCACAATCTGGTGGAACCTGCCATTTTTGCCAGTTGATTACGGTGTTCTTACTTTTGATTGCGGTTGGGAGTCTCGCTGTTGGTGTTTGGCGTACATTCTTGACGGGCGATGAGGGCAAAGGATTCACGGATGCAGGTTGGTTTGCTACTGTTGGGAGTACGCTATACGTAGTTATGGACAGGGTACATGGGAAGTGCGATTTCATAAAGAACGGATTAAAGTAGATTATAGCAGGGAGGGTGTATTCATTCCACTCATAAAACACCTTTTGAACGCTTGGTTCGAGTTCGAACGCTCCACTGAGTGTTCGTAGGATTTCTTTCACTTTTGAGTCAAAAGTTAAAGAAAGTTTGACTGATACTGCGTTCAGGGGTATTTCAATGAAGACATAAACTGCTATGAACCTATATTTTTGGATGTCGTTGGGTCATTGTGTGATATATCTCAAGATACCTGGAGTTTGAGGGACTTTTATAAGGCAAGCTGTTAACATAGATTTGCTTGAATACACCAATTCAGTATAAACCCTTAGTTGCTCGTCCACTGTTTCAATTCCTTATCTATTCAAACTTTTAAGAAGAGGACCTGACGAAATTCCATCATAACCCACAAACATCTCCAATGAAAAAAGGTTGGGGGTTTTATTGTTATCAGGAATCAGTTCACTTTGCTTCATTTCCACTGCCTAGGTTTCCTGCCCCATGACTGCCAGCGGATTTCTCGTGTTATTGTTTCCTAGCTATCGTTTTAGATAGTTCGCTGTTGTAAACTACAAATACTACTGGATTAATTAGTATTTAAGATAACTTACTATTTAAATAGAAGATAGATTACGATACAAGACGAGGTTTCAACCTAGACTAGGAATTGTATTTTGTAAATCTAGTAAATAGAATCACTTTAGCTAATACCTACTCATACATCCCCACTCCCCCCTGGAGCCTTTAGTAAAAGATTAGCTAAAACTATACTTAAATCCTACCTATTAATCTTTTATATATATAAAAGATTTATAATAGAATTAAACTCTTTTTTATTATCGCTATTGATAATGTCCTTAGTCTTGTCCCCACTATTGGTGGTTGGTGGTACAGACCTACCATTTATTTATTAGAAACTACTTTATATGTAGGATAAGGTTATAATGGTTGATTTGAGGAACCTTTTATGTACTATGTACTATTCTGTAATCTGTATACTAATAATACGGTAGCTCGCTCCTAACGTAGAGAATATAAGCCTTCTATCCCGAATCATATCTAACAAAATTTACTTAAAAGAAAAGTAACATGTCCCCTATATAATGACGCGTAAAATCCGCACTTAATACTTAGAGCCTACGCATTCCCCTTTAACAAACAACAATTAAAGCACCTTTACACGTCAAAAGAAATTACAGCTAAGCCATGGGAAGAAAAGGGTATTATACAGCACCACTACGCCGTGTAAGTTTTTAAAAATACGAATATCTAAGTGGCGCAAGCTAAACCCCGCAATGATAAAGAGAGGAGAATAATACGCATGTCTAGCCCCGAGAAAGAGGTGCAGTAAAAAACATCCACAGACTTCAGCGTATTGAATTAGAGTAGTTGAGTTGAGTGGTAGTACCTACTCAACTTAAATCAACGGAATCATCTTATCATACTCATTTAACTCAACTCTAGTACTACTCGATTAGAGTTGAGTAGTTGATTAGTTTGTTAATACGTTCTGCCCATAGTATCTACTGCACCCCAGAATCAGACAAATATAGGACGCGTGATTTTTCCTTCTTGAAAATAGGTAGATACGCCAGAAAAGCAAGGTACGGAACCTAAGCATTTCGGTACTATATATATATAACCTGTCATCTATGTTTCAAAAGGCCCTTGGATAGTCCAACTGAATCTCCAGAATATAGCCGGAAAAAAACTCGAAAGGCGGAGAAATCTATGTACCTATCTTACATGAACAAAAGACTAAAGCTGTGAGTTTGAAGACGTCAAGTTGACAGAGAGAACTCTTTATTCTGTTTCGAAAGGTATTATATCTCCACCCAAGCGCTGAAAACCATCCAAGATTGCCCATATCATCTGTTTATGTACAGCTGATTCACTACTATAAAGTTTTGTGAGAAAGTACCTGGCCTCGCTGGTCTGCAGACGATCAATATCTCAGAAGAATGCCTACAGGAGGAATTCCAGAAAATCAAGAGTTCATGCACTATATCACATCTTCTCATGCAAGTCCTGGCTGCTATCTACTGTAAGAACAATTATATGAAGGGCTGCGAGAGAGGTTTCTGGGTTGAATTTATCAATTTTCCTCAACGGGAACCGCAAACCCTCATATTCTACCATTAAACTTCCCACAACAGATCTTTCCAACCACCCCTCTCCCATCAAAGCTCCCGCATCCATTACGCCAAAAACCCACCCATCACAAGTAAGTCCTCGCTCCACACAATAAGCGAGGAGAATCCCCACAATTTTCCCAACCCCCAAACATCGCATTCAGCATCCAAACCATGGAAACAGCAACAAACAAACAAAAAAAAAAGATCTTTGACATATTCTTTTAAGGAACATTGTTCGCATTCAAACAAAAAAGACGGGTTGCGTCCGGTGTTCTGTATCGATAAACGATAAACGGCTGCTTTCATTCCCCATCGCCTCATTAAGGAATGTGACGCTGCGCCTCTCTTTGTTTCCCACTCGAGCCTTTCAAGAAGGCCAAACCCCAACCCGAACCACGACCCCAAGCACAAGTGCACCGTACCTCTTGGTCTGTCGTCGTTGATTTGGAATCGCAAATCGCAAGAAGAAGATATCGTTCGTGTCGCATCGACATCGTCAACAAGTAAAGTCCTCTAGAGACATTGATCGAGAAGAAGAAGAACAACAAACGCATACCTAATCATGTCTTACTCACGAACCCCTCACGCTCTACTAGACATCACCCCCGTCGACTCAGAGGTCGAAACATCAGATCTCATGACCGAGACCGAGGAAGAAACCGAGGGCGAATCCGACAGCGATATTGAAATGGACGAAGCATACAACTACCCCTACGCACCTCCCCAACAAGAAAACTTCTACGCCGCCACCTCAGGAAGTTATACCTCAGTCCTAACCTCCCCTCGCAACCCCACCAGCAAAAACCCCTCCCCCCAAAAATCCTCCCTCTCACCCCCCNTCCCCAACAAGAAAACTTCTACGCCGCCACCTCAGGAAGTTATACCTCAGTCCTAACCTCCCCTCGCAACCCCACCAGCAAAAACCCCTCCCCCCAAAAATCCTCCCTCTCACCCCCCAAGAAATCCTCCTCCCCAAAAAAAGGTACCGTCCGCTTCGAGTCCTCCCCAGCCCCAAGTCCCATCTCGCCAAACAACAACGGGGGGCAGGTGGTAGGATACATCAGCACCAAAGGCGAGCGACCCTCCGGCTCGCGAGCCATCAAAGGACCCGTGGACCCCTCCAAGTCCGCCAGTCCCAGTGCGCTCGACAGTGCCTCATCAGGGAGNTAGGATACATCAGCACCAAAGGCGAGCGACCCTCCGGCTCGCGAGCCATCAAAGGACCCGTGGACCCCTCCAAGTCCGCCAGTCCCAGTGCGCTCGACAGTGCCTCATCAGGGAGCGTCATAAGCCTGATCTTCTCGCCTAGTCGGTGGCAGACACCGCAGTTTATCAGGAACTGGTACGCGGTCGGCGCACCGATGGAGATTCCCGCGGGGTATACGGATTATTCGCCTACGGGTGGTGGGGGTGGACAGACGATCGATCCGCCCGCGCCGTCGACGATGAAGTTGAGAGGACGAGGCGGGAGGCGGCGAGTGTGGTGAATCGGTTACAGAAGACTGCGGGGGGACGGATACAGAGACAGAAGGCGGTGCCGGTTGCGGATCGACAGAGGGAGATTGATGAGATGTTGAGGGCGAATTTGGGACTTTTGGTTCCGGTCAGTTTTGGGAATTTTCTTTTGCGATATGGTATTGTGTTTTTGATGTGAAAGGGGAAGTGATTACTTGGCGAGTTATTCCACTTGAGATGAGAGTGTTTAAAAAGACAAATCACCTCCTCAAGATCCCCTCGATTCAACCCAAGAAAACACCCAAGCGAGAAACCATAAGAAAAAGAAAAAAAGCTAACCAAAAACAAAAACAGACAAAAAAACCCAACAAACCCTCCCCCTCCACAGGAGGCTCCGACGAAAAACCTCCTCCCGTCCCCCACCCAACCCAAAACATCAACCTCTCAACCTCCATCCCCATCCCCGTCCGCAAACTCTACCCCTCCCACCCGCTCGAAGACCGTCCAGACGCCTTCTTCAAAGACGCCTTCCACACCCTCTACACAGACATCCACGCACTCTGCCACGCCTTCTTCGGCTACCCGAACCTCCTCAACCCCGAATGGGTCAAGAAAACCGGGACGGCGAAGCCCTGGGACGCGATCGGGATGATGAGTGAGTTTACGACGTTTGCGGATCTGGTGGCGGAGGAGGATCCGGTGGTGGGGGGCTGGGAGGAGTTGGTGGGGAAGGGGAGTAGTAGGAAGTTTTTGGTGGTCGGGGTGATTGTGAAGATGTTGAAGTTTCGGGTGTTTGATGAGGGGATTTATGGGGGGAATGTGCAGGAGGGGGAGATGATGCATGGGGTTGAGAGGGCGTTGATTGATCGGGAAGGTTAGATTTTTCTTTTTCTTTTTTTTTTTGCTCGACTTGCTGCTCTCGTTCACTTGGAGTGAGGGATGGGGAAGACACTTACTACCCAACTAATCCTCGCTTATCAAGCGAGATTTGAAAAAGGGGGCACCAACACCCCACCCCACCACACCTCCCCCCTCATACCCTCCGCAAGATCGAAAAAGAAGAAAAACAAAATACTAACAACATAAATCAGGCTTCCAACGCCAAACCCTCCGCGCCTCCACCACCCGCGCAATCCTCACCAACCGCCCCGTAACAACAAACTTCTACGCCCAAGTCGCCTCCCAAACCGCCCAAACCTTCCTGATGCTCCAACCCCTCTTCGACTACCTCTACAGCCTCCCCTCCACCTCCGACTGGGAGCTCCCCCCACCAATGGAATTCTACCAGGGGCTGCACGACATAATCTCCGACGCGGCTTATCTCAGCCTCTGCATCCGCGTCTCCCCCACCATCTTCTGGTGGGAGGAGACACGACCAGGGACGTTGTTTACGGCCGAGGAACACACCATCGTCGACGCGGTGAGCTGGCAAGAGAGCAAGAACGCCCAGCTCACGCTGCACGTGAAGGATATCACAGCCTGGCGCGCCACGAAAGAGAAAGCGCTCGCGGCGGTGCGGAAGAAGTTAGCAGAGGGCAAGATCTACAGCCATCACGGCTTCGCCAAAGTCGAGCAGTTGGAGAACATCAAAGCGCTCCGCCCCGCATTCGCAACCGACGCCTTCAGGGCGAAGGTGAAAATCGCAGTCTGGCCCGCAATCAAGCGCTTCAAGGAGGGACACTGGAAAGAAGAGGGCACCTCCCTCCCCGCATGGGAGAAGAGGGGCATGCGCGAGATCCCCATGAGTACGTCGCTGGTCCTCTGTTACTACGGCCGCGTGCAACCGCTGGGAGGGATCAAACCGTACCAGCCACAATCGTTGGCGGTGTATATGGGGTTACTCCCTACGACGGCGGAGGAGAAGGAGTTTGTGGAGCGGGTGAATGAGAGCAGTTGTTTACCTGGAAGGGACTTGGATCCCTGGGGCTGGTGGCGCTGTATCTGTTTAGGCAGCATGGGTTGAAGTTGTCGGTTGAGCAGTTGGCGAGTGGGATTGCGAGTCTGGGGGGTTTGGTGGGGGAGAAAGGCCAGATTTTGAATGGGATGGAGGAAGGTCTTTCGGAGGGGTTGAAGGAGGCTTGGAAGTCTTGATTTGTGGGTTTAGTTGCTTGGTTGCCCATAAGGAAAGAGTTTATTGAGCTGTTGGGGAATGGAAAGAAAGGATAGATGGGAGTCGGGTGTTTATGTGGTTTGGGCTTTTTTTATGCTTTGAATTGAAAATATAGAGTAGTCTCATAATACAGAAATTAATATCTAAATGATATCAGAATTTGTGGGGCTTCAAGAACCGAAGCTCCACATCAAGGCTTAAGAGTAGAGTATGATATATTGAATGGAATTCAAAACCTGAACGCTGAACATTCTTTTGAGCATCAAATTGTGACCGGGTATAGAGTTTTGCCCCCCTTTCTAAACACCAAAAAAAACCTCGTCATCGAACCTTACAAGCGCCTTCCTTCCCAATCCCCACATACGCCACCGAAAGACTGCTGCCAGAAGAACAATTGTAACAACGTTGCAAATTTAACCATTGCCATTCGTCGCACCCATCGTAGGGGCACCGGGAGGCTGGGGATTGGGTTTTCCCTTCTTCTCCTTTTTTGCCCATCGAAGTCCACACGCATTGCAAAGAGTCTTTGGTCCACTTGGGCCCTTTCGCCATTCAGGCGAATCGAGTGTGCCTTGGAAACGTCAGATGACTGACTATATAAAGTGAAAAGATGATGACCAAACTCACCACAATCCGTACACACATATTCATCAGGAAGTTTGATTTTCTTCCTCTTATCGTTTGCTCTGGCTTCTTTATCGGCTGCAATGGCAATACCTGCATCGCCTCGGATGAGAGCCGGACTTTGATCGCCAGTACTAATACCCTGACTTCGTTCACCATCTTGATATCTCAAACCTGTCAGCATTTCAATCGTCTCGATATGAGTAACTCCTTCGTATCTGGCCATTTTATCTCCGATCGAATCTGCTTTGTTACTTGCATTTGCATCTTCCAGATTCTGACGGGTCAAGGCAATGTTTAGGCCAGGTTTCGCCGGCGGGGGCATTGCTCTGGCATCTGGATTAGACGAGTGTAGTGGCATCGAGGTCACTGAGGTGCCTGCAGCTGTATCGGTTTCTTCCGACTGATTTTCCTTTTGGCCATCTCTCTTGCTCCACGACTGCTGGGAACCTTCCAATTCTTCTTGTTCTTCCCTCTTCAAATCTTCAATACGCTTGGTCAGACGAGCATTTTCAATCTTGTGTTCGAGAAAGGAATCGAGGAGTGCCGCATTCTTGGTGGGATAAGGTCGAGCCATCATGAAGAAACCTTTGCAAAACCCAGCGGCACTCGCTGGTCCAAATATTGCCGCTTTTGATGTGAGATGTGGGTGCCCGTGCGATTCAAAGATGGTGTAGGTGCCATCTTTCTTCCGAAAACGATAGAAGAATCGCAAAGGATTTCCACTGGCAATCGACTCGTTAAACTCACGAACGAAAATGCCACTATCGTCAGGGTGTATATAATCCACAATGAACTTTCCCACCAACTCCTCCGAGGCGAATCCGGTCAGTGGCGTTCCACTGGGTGAGAGGTAGACGATTCGACCGTCGGGCGTCAGGATATGGAGAAAGTCCTTGAGCTCCTCCACCACTCTCTGTGACCAATTTCGCCTTTTTGTGAATTCCGTCAGCGTGCTACCTCCCCCGATGGCCGACTGCACTCCAAATCCGGTAGGCAAAGGACCGGCGCCCGCCACGCCGAGCTGTTTGTCGGCGGATAGCTGGTCGGGCTTGTTCTGCTCGTTCTCAATGTCATTCTCGTCCTGTGGTTCCATCTCATCGGGCGAGCACCTGGACATGGCCGAGGCGGGGTTGTGCGAGGCGGAGGGGTTTTGTGCGGCGGACCCATCAAGAGTGTTGACATCCAGCGTCATGCCCTCCACTGGAAGTCCATCGAAAGTGTCCAACAGACCATCTTCGAGCATGCCCGTCATCGAGGTATCATGGCGGTTGGGCGCGCCCTGATGGGAGAGGGGGTGTTAGATGGTCCTTTGATCAGAGTACGATTGGGGGCGGATGCGCATGCACCGCTGCGGTACTCGAGGACCGTACGAGTAACTTGACCGTGATGTGAGGTGATGTGAGGTAATGCTCTGACTTGACATACCTGAGGGGCAGCTAGGGCGCTCATACCTACACCGACGCCGCCGACGCCTACGCCTACACCACCAACACCTATGGATCCAGACGCTGGGAGATCCTCGGGGTTGGTGTAGTAGAGCGAATTGTTGTTGAGACCCATGCTGTTCATGTTCATGTTCATGTTCATGTCCATCTCCATCTCCATGTTGGTCGGCAGCGGTGGTGGAGGCGGTCGGTTGGCCATGCTGGCGGTCGTGGTCGTGGTCGGGGCCGTGATCGCTGGAGGGAGGTTGCAGGTGGTGGGTGATCTGGTATGGCGAGGGTTGAAGTAGGTAGTGTGGTGTGGTGCCTGATGTCTATGCTATGTCGGATATCTGATATCCCTCGTATGCAAGCTACCGGTACACAACTAGACGAGAGGACCTACCAAGTTCGATACCACCATTTATACCATTGCATTGATTAAGCCTGAGCTGTTTACTTGAGTCCGAATGCTGCAGTGAGCCTGGGCAAGGACCACTACCATCACTTGATTCTGGCCAACTGGGCAAGGAAAGAGCCACCCGTGGATGCAGAGCTGGCGATGGGGAGGGGGAGGAGAGCACAACTTGGTGATCGTGTGACAATGCTCTTATACTAAGATGGGCACCTGCAATTCTCGCTCTTTCAGGGTCACACAGCTGTGAACGCCACCGGCAACCACCAGAAACCGCACCCAGAAAACCCCACTCGCCTATGCCTATCAGTACTCGTACCTTGGCTTGGTAGGTATGATGGCAGACGGCTGCATGCACTTGAACACTTGCTTCCCCGTTGCCTGAAGTCAATTATATCAATCCGAAAGTCTATACGTAGGGCTAGTCCTAGCGGGCTAACCCTAATGAGAATATGGAGTATAGAGTATGGAATAGAGTATAGAATATAAAGTATGAATAGCAAGAGTGATGGATGAAGTCGAGGATACCCATCTCTGTCGGTACATTCTCTCCAAATGTAAGGGGGCACCGTAGGCATTCGAGTACATGGTAGTTGCTAATAGGTAGTCTCCCACCAGCAGAGTTCAGTAGGGAGGGTTCCTGAGTCTTTGACCTTCCCAAAACACATCCCTTTGATAACGATGGTAAAGAGACCAATTCAACGATGACGTATCTAAGCGTGGTATGAGTCTAAGCTTCAAAGCCTCAAAACCTCAAATCCAGGTGCCCTGGAGGTCGGGTGAATCGAATTCCATTCTTGCCACGTGACAAGGCGTCGGCGCAACAGAGAAGCGCGTCACCCGGCCTGGCACCTTTCGTGGGACTCTCACGTTGAACAAACAACCATTCCTCCTCCATTTCGTGCCCCTCCAACCTTCCCCCTTCTACAAACACCACGAATCTTCCCCTTCGAACCTTTGATTACAACATTTCCACACCCTACGTAATCTGCGAAGCCACCGGGCATGAAAAAGTGCCTCTAGGCAGGCGACAACAAGATGTAAATCAACTCTTCCCAATCCTCGTGTTGACCGCACACTAATTACTCCAAAGGTGTAAGAGAAAACAATACTGCTCGACCATATGACGATACTAATATTGCTCCTTGACCTCTAGCTCGAATAGACCAGTTGCAAATTCGGGGGTACCGCTTCTCATTCTCCTTGCCTACAAACAATCACTAACTCTTGCTCTAGAATTCGTTCCTTTGGCATCGAAACCCCCGAAATTATCCGCTTCCATACGCCCTTGACCCTGATTGTGGGATACAATGGCTCTGGCAAGACGGCACGTTTTCCCGTCCACCTCTTTCCCGGCAACGAGTTAACCTCATGCAGACAATTATCGAATCCCTTAAATATGCCACCACCGGAGAACTACCCCCAGGTGCCAAAACCACCGGTGCCTTTATACACGATCCCAAGGTATGACGAATAAAGAATGGTGGTAAACTACTGTGGGCTAAATCGTTGCAGATTTGTGGAGAGAGTGAAGTATTGGGACAAGTCAAGCTGCAATTCAGAGATGCCAAACATTCTAGATTGGTCATTACAAGATCTATGCAAGCCAGTATCAAAAAGGGAGGGGCAAGATCACAGAAGCAAATCGATTGCAACTTGTTGATGGTAAGAGACGAGGAGAGAACCAACCTTTCAAAACGGGTCGCGGAAATGTATGTACAAGTATTCCAACTCCATCATTCCCACAAAAAAGTCCCAAATCCTACAATATCGATGACCACACTGTGTTGGTACTTGCTAACGAGTGAATACAAGGGACTCTGTGATCCCGAGATACCTTGGCGTCTCGAAAGCGATCCTGGAGAATGTGATATTCTGCCATCAAGACGAATCACTCTGGCCTATGAGCGAACCTTCTGTATTGAAGAAAAAGTTTGACGAAATCTTTGAGGCGCAAAAGTACACGAGTGCGATTGACAATCTCAAGCTTCTCCGAAAACATCAGGTCGAGGAATTGAAGAAGCTCAAGATCGAAGAGGAACACTTGAAACAAGAGAAGGAAAGAGGTGCACGGCTAGAGTCAAAATGTACACAGCTTCACACAGATTTGGAAAGCCTCAGGGACCAACACGATGTTTTGGTATTGCAAATTGAGGACGCTAGCAAAGTCCAGCAGGAAAAGGACAGATCTTTCACCAAGGCCCGTGAAACTGTTGGTGAGCTGGTGAGCACACGTGGACAGGCGCAATATACCAAGAAAAATGTGGATGAGTTGAAGGCTAATATGAAGGAACACACGGAAGCTGATGAGTGGCTCCAACAAACCCTTGCACAATACGACGAACGAATGGCAGAGTTGAACCAGGCGAAAGATAATTATGTGAGGCAATACACCGAGGTGGGTCAATCGATCAAGAGAGCTACAAAGCAAATGTCACAAAAGCAATCTGAAAAGGGCCAACTTATCGCCGAGAAATCTAGTTATGAGAATCAAATTATATCACGACAGCAACTCGTCAAAGTCTCAGCTCGTGATCATTCAATGCGAGGATACGATGGGGAAATTGATGATGATCGGGTTAGAGAGTTTGTTAACAAGATTGAGAAATTGTCTCGCGAAAAGGACCGTGAGTTGGAGAAGATCAGAAAACAAATGGACGAGGAACGTCAGGCAAAGCAAGACGTCCTTACAACTCTCGAAACCAAGCGATCATCTCGGATGGGGGAGAAGACCAACGCTCGACAAACCATTACGAACAACGAAAAGAAAATGGCCGCCGGTCAACAAAAGATGAATTCCATCTCAATGGACGAAGGCTCGTACGCTGCCCTTGGGGTTTCCGATCGCGAAATCCAACAACGCTTGGAGTCATTGAGATCCAACTACGACGCTGCGGATTGGGACAAGAAGATTCGCAAAGAAGAAACTGAACAACGTGAACTCGGGGCAGAACAAACCAGATTGAGAAGTGAGCTTATGAAAAGCCACCAACAGGCAGAAGCTCAGGCTCAATTTCAACTTGTTAAAAAGGAATTGAAGGATCGCGAGAGAACTCTGGACACCATGCAATCCACATATCGAGATCAGTTATCCGCAGTGATTGGACCAAACTGGACTGTTGACTCATTGGAGGAAAGATTCGAGGTAGCGGCAAGCAAGCGAGCCAATATTGTTTCGGATGCCAAGAAAAAGCAGGAAGAGTTAAGTAGGGAGCTTAGTAGTGTTGAGTACAAGCTCAAGACTTCTCGTGACAGCCTCAAGCAGAAGACGGATGATATACGTCGATTCTCAACTGCGGTGATGAACTCTATCCCTGACGAGAATGGCAATCCTTTATCAAGTATCGAAGAGTATCCAGTAGAGCTTGCAGAACTGGAAAGGCTACGAAATGAACAGCAAGTAGCACTTGATAGCGGGGATCACCTGAAAGATTTTTTCGATAATGGTCTTAAACATATTGAGGGTCGCAACTCATGTATTTTGTGTCAACGAGAATTTACTAGCGGCAGTGAAAAGTCAAACGCAAGTCAAGCCATCAAAGCCCGAATCCACAAGATCGAACAGAGTGCCAAACAGGAATCGCTCGAAGTAATCGAAGCAGATCTTGAAAAGGCCAATGCTGTTCGACAACAATATGACGCCTATAAGACTCTACTGGAAGTTGATGTTCCCTCACTGAAAACCGAGATACAAAAGACAGAGTCAGAAAAGAAACTGCTCGTGGAGAGATTGGAAAAACAAGATCTTGTAGTTGCGGATGCTGTTGCCAGTCAACGTGACCTTGATAGTCTTGTCAAACCTGTTGCCAACATCACACTCACCAAAAACGAGATTGCCAAATATGAGGCTGAAAGCGCACGACTTGCTTCTCAACAAAGTATCTCCGGCAGTACTCTCAACGCTGACGAACTTGATCAGCAGATGAATACATGCGAAGATAGAATTCGGGCAGTTAATGCGAGAATTAACAAATTGCGAAGTGACAAGGAGCAGGCAAGCTCGTCGATCAATTTGCTAGAGACAGAGAAGGCCGGAATTTCTCAAAACCTCAGCTCCGCCAAGCACCAGTTGGAAAGAAAGCAATCACTATTGGACGAGATCAAGGAACTTCGAGATAGTACAGCAAAACTTCGTGCATTGATGCAAGAAGCCGATGCTGAGATTGAATCCCTTGGGCCAGAAGTTGCAAAAGCCAAGGCTGCCTTTGATGAAGTTCAAAATCGTGGTCGATCCAAGGAGAAGGAGGTCCAAAATGACAAAACCAAGGTTGCTGAGACCGTCCATAAATTCAAAGTCATCGAGGAAAGTATTAACAAGTATATTGAACATGACGGCGCTGGAAAGTTGACGTCTTGTGAGCGTGCGATCACACGGGTTGAGCAAGAGAAGGAGGGTTTTGAGGCAGAGCAACAGGAACTCACTAAAAAGGCCAAAGCCATCGAGCAACAGACTGCTGATAGTGAGAGTACTCGGAAGAGCATTAATGAAAATCTTCGATATCGAGCGGGGTTAAAGGAGCTCAGAAAACTTCAGCGCAAAATTCAAGAGTTGGAGGCACGAAATGTCGAAGAGGATTACCAGCAATTACAAATAGAAGCTGACGAAGCCACGAAGTATCATCAAGATTTGGTGGCTCGAAGAGGTCCGATTGCTGGAGAAATCACAGCTAGAGATGCCGAGCTCACAGGATGTCTGGAGGAATACGAAAAGGAATACAAGAACGCGCCGGAGCGATTTCGCGAAGCTCATCTCAAGGTGGAGCTGACCAAAGCTGCGGTCGATGATATGGCCAAATATGGCGAGGCTTTGGACGCTGCCATCATGAAGTATCATTCCATGAAGATGGAGGAAATCAATCAGATTGCTGGCGAGCTTTGGCAACGTACTTACCAAGGCACGGATGTGGACGGCATCATGATCCGATCTGAGAATGAGAATGCGAATTCCAAGCGCAATTACAATTATCGTGTTGTCATGGTCAAGGGGGATGTCGAGATGGACATGCGTGGAAGATGTAGTGCCGGTCAAAAGGTGCTAGCTAGTATCATCATCCGTCTCGCCTTGGCTGAGTGCTTCGGTGCTAATTGCGGTGTATGTTCTCCCTCCTCATTCCCTCTCCTCCCCCTCGCCTCCTCTCTCCCCTTCCCCTATCATTGACACGCTCCCAGGTCATCGCCCTCGACGAACCAACCACCAACCTCGACACGGATAACATCAAAGCCCTCGCCTCGTCCCTCCACGCCATCATCCAATCCCGGCGGCACCAGGCCAATTTCCAACTCATCATCATCACGCATGACGAGGCGTTTCTGCGCGACATGAATTGTTCGGATTTCATTGAGAGTTATTTTCGGGTTAGTAGGAATGCGTTGCAGAAGAGTCAGATTGAGACGTGTGCTTTGAGTAATTTTATGTGAGGGTTTGTGCGTGTGGATGGGTGGATTAGGGGGGAAGAGGAAAGGGAAAGGGAAGGGGAAGGGGAGGGGAAGGGGAAGGGTGGAGGGGAAGGGGAAGGGGAGTAGATGGATGGATGGATTGTTTCTTTGTTGTTGTGGTGTAACATATAAACTGGGTTTCTGTATTTAGGTTACATACATAGGTACTTTGCTTTGCTTTACTTTACTTTGCATATCCTCCATTTCTATCCCCATAGTAACTACCTACCTAACTACCTAGCGGGAGAAAAAGAATCAAGAGCGTAAAATCTCACCTACGAGTATCTATATTTTCCCTATCTCCTGAATCTCGCTTATAGTATATAGTATATAGTATATAGGTAAGATTACTTATATACTTCGAATTTTAGGCTTTCGATTATCTATTTTAAGTTTTATTAGTACTAAACGATAGTAGTTCTTAGGTAGTATAATAGTATAATAAGAATAGTATAAAAGTTGATTAGATTAAACTAATTAATAAGGTCTTAATATAAGTTAATCTAATAAATCAAACCTTATTATTACCTAATCTCTTCTTTACTTATCCAGGTATATAATATAATTAATATAAGCTGTAACCGTGTGGAGTGAACCACTGCTTGCTGTGATGAATACGGAGTCAAACGGAAACTGCTGTATTGAGCGAACAACTAAGTGAGGAGAGAAGAGAGTTCCAGAGGAACAGAAGCTTAAATACAGGATGCCAGCGGCACGCACGTGCCGTGCAACACGTGATCAAACCCCAGTCCCTCCAACTCCGTAACATAAGCTAGGTAAGCTCTTTAACTAGTAAACTAGTAAACTAAAAGCTTAAAGGGTATTTAGTATACTATAAAGGAAGTACTATAAAGGAAGTACTAGCTAAGCGAGAGTACTTATATTATATATAATATAACTTTTATTTTATATTTATTTTACTAAGAAAGGGTTTATAAAATAGAAATAAAGAAAGGGTTTTTTATAGTAGAAAATTTAGAATTAAATAAATAGTTTATTTATATTTTCAAATTAAAGAAGGTTTTTAAATAAAGAAAATATAAGAAGAAAGGGTTTTTTATAGGGATATTTTTAGGTTTTAAGAAGGTTTTGAAAGGTTAGAAAGGTTTTTAATATAAGGAATACTAAAAGTGTCACGGATGCCAACAAAGGATAAAGTGTATACAGCTCTTGAATCAATTGCTAGAACTAAAACCGTAGGTACGAAGAAATCAAACTAAAGAGAGAAGAGAATCTGAAAGGAGCGAAGTTATTTAAGTTGTTCCAATGCCAAGTCTCGTCACGTGCTTGGCCAAGCGAATGAAATCCTGTCAAATGAAATCCAGCTCCGTCACAAAAAGTAAATAAGTTTTACTTAGTAGATAGTAGTTATAACAGTAAAGTTAGAAAAGGAAAAAGAGAAGAAGTAAAGCTTTTATAAGTTAATAAATAAATATATAACTAGAATATAACTTAAAACTATAAAACTACTAAAGTTCTAAGGAATTTAGTTATATTTCTAGGTAACTTCTCTTTTATAATCTTAGAATAGCTTTAGATTTCCCTTTTTCTTTCATTATTCCTTCTTTTACTTTTCTTTCTTTTATTCTTTTATATCTTTAGTTTCTATTATTATATACCGCGAGGCGTAAAGCTAACCCTAAGGGTATACGGTCCTTTAACTACGTATTATCCGTTATATAGTATAGGAGTGTCACGAATCACGTGTTTGCAGGTAACGAGTGAAGACCAGGCGGCGTCCTGACAGGTCAAGCACTATTGAATACTCTTATAGCAAATGGGATCGGTTGGGCTAGCTAAGCGATCCAGGGATTTCAATTGGATAGTATCACGTGATATGGTCACATGACCATTGGAGCTTGCAGGAGCTTCGGTTGGAGCTTGAGGATCTTGGGCTCCCTTCAAGCTCCAGGAGAGACGAAGGTTCTATATAAGACTGGCACTTCTGCCANNNGTTTGACATCTTTGATACAAGTAACGAGTTCACTTCCAAGTGAACAACCCGATAGTCTTCTTCTTATCATAGCATACCAACCAGCGAACACCCAGCCAAGTTTAGTTAGCCAGCGAGTATTCGTTACAAGGAGATAGGTAAAAAGGTAAGAAAACTACTATTTCTAGGCTCCGGAGAACCTTAAACAACCATACTCCTATATCTTATATATATTCTTATAGGTCGCGCCCGTATTATACTATAGTATAGCTATCTTCTATTTAGTTATAAGTACTTCTACTTATAAATAGCCTTAAGGTACCTTATATACGCTTTCCGGCTCTTATTAGAGTTCCTGGTTACTATTCTAAGCCTAATATTATTACCTTCTTATTGTTACGGAGTTGGAGGAATTGGGGGCAGATCACGTGTAGCAGCACGGCACGTGCGTGCTGCTGGCAGCCTGTATATAAGCTTCTGTTCCTCTGTAACTCTCTTCCTTCCTCACTTAGTTGTTCGCTCTATATAGCAGTTTCCGTTTGACTCCGTATTCATCACAGCAAGCAGTGGTTCACTCCACACGGTCACACTTATTCCTACTATTCCTTTATACCTCCCTACTATTCTACTATCCTAAAGTATATACTTTAAGAGCTAAGTTTATAGAATCGTATATAAAATCGTATAACTTATAGAAGATTTAAAAGATTTAACTTTCTTTTAGAAAAGTATAATATAAGAGTTTTTTTACTTTTCTTTTTTCTTTTTTAATAATAAAAACTAATTTAGAATAAATAAAAGAAAAGAACTCTTATAAATACTATAGATAAAGGTATAGTTAAGCTTAAAAAGTACTTTCTAAAATAAAAAGCTTTTATTTTAAAGAATAAAATGTAACGAATACTCATACTGGCTAACTAAACTTGGCTGGGTATTCGCTGGTTGGTATGCTATGATAAGAAGAAGACTATCGGGTTGTTCACTTGGAAGTTAACTCGTTACTTGTATCAAAGATGTCAAACTAATATGATAAGATTGATAACTAAGTTGAGCACGAAGCTCCTATCTAATGGCAGACGTGCCAGTCTTATATAGAACCTTCGTCCCCGTGGATCTGGGGATCCCCCAGATCCTTTGCCTGGATCTTGGGATCCTCAAGATCCCAATATCCATCACGTGACTACATACAAATGATATCCTTGGATCGCTTAGCTAGTCTAGCCGATCCCTATTCGCTATAAGAGCATGATAGTGCTTAACCTGTCAGGACGCCGCCTGGTCTTCACTCGTCACATGCTAACACGTGATTCGTGACATAAAACTCTTTATATGGCTCTTTTATTTAATTCTAGGGTTAAGCGAAATAATCTAAAGAGAATAAAGGTTTTCATAAGGTTTAGAGGGAATATATATAAGGCTTTTAAATAAAAGTACTTAAGATAAATCTTTTTATTTAACTTAAATCTTTTAATATTATATAAACCAAGTAATATTTTATTATTTTACTAGTTTAAAGCTTAATCTAAGGAATATAAAGTTACCTTTATAAGAAAATAACATTAGTACTTCTAATAGAAATAGAGAGTATAAAATAAGTAACCTTTATATAAAGAAAGAAAAGTAGAAAGTAAATAAGTTAAATAAATACTTTAAAGAATAAAGGGTTAATAAAGATATAAGTAGCTCTATAAGCTTTTTTATAAGAACTTTTCTTTCCTTTTTATACTTATAAAGCTTATAACTTTAGCTTTAGCATAATAGTTAGTTAATAAGCTTAATTATTTAGTTTTATTTATTTTAATAAAGAAGTATTTATAAATCTAAGCTATTTTAACTTCTGGTAAAAGGTTCTTTAATAAAGCTACTAGGGATATTTTATAAAGTAAAAAGAAAATAAAATACTAAGTAAAATTAAAGCCTTTAAATACTTTTAAAAACTAAGTTATAATAAGATTTATAAGGTTTTTTCTTTTATTTTATTTCTTCGTTAGTTTTTTAAAAGATTCTCTAGATATATTACTAGTACTTTAAAATATATACTGTTATTCTAATTAATTTATTTCAATTACCTTAAGGTTCTAATCTAATTTAAATATAATTAATTACAATTTAGTTAGTTACTAATTAATTAACTAAAGTAATTTATTCTTATTTTAATATATACGTTTTCGACTAGATTTAAAGGTATAGTATAACTAACTATAAATAACGTTTTAGTAAAGCCCTCTTTTAAAAAAGAAACCCTCCCTCGCTAGAAAAACTCTTATAGGATTATATTTAGTTTTCGCTTAGAAGTATTCTACCCTTTATAAATACCGGATATCTTACCTATGATTCTAGACCGTAATCACTTATATAAACCTTAGGTAACATTATATCCTATAATCTACATCCTATTCCTTTTACAGATTTCATCCCTATACTATACTTCTATGTCTTTCCTTTTATACGCCGCAATACAATTAAACTTGGTCCAAAAATCCCCCTCCTGCTGCCCAAAATAACTCCTAATCATCAAACTCAACTGCTTCACACTCTTCGTATTCAACGGCGGCGCACCCGTCTGCACCCGTCCCCTCACCGTCGGAACAAACTCCTCCCAATCAAACTGCCAAACCCCCACGCCCACAAACGAAACCGCATACAACAAGCTCGACTCGCTCGCATTCACAGGCAACTCATCCTTCAGCGTAACCGTATAATTCTTGCCATCCGACTCCCGGACTGAGATCGAGAGGCCGTTGTAGGATGACAAATCGAGGTTGAGATCTCCCTTGGTGCGTTGCGAGGCGAAACCGCTACCGCCTAAGGCTTTGCTGTCGAGATAGCCGGAGAAGGTGGCGAATTGGTCGCTGGGGTCGATGGTGAGGTGGGAGCTGCTGTTGCCGCCGGGGCGGAGGGAGTCGTCCGCTGCTTCCATGGGGACGGTGTACCATCTGTGGTGGGATCAGTTGGAGTTCTGGGCGCATAGCTTGTTCTATGGAGGGGTCTACGAACGATACTCGTCCTAAGATGTAGAGGACGGAGCCTAGATCTCGGATCCACATGTTGGCTGAAGGGGTTTAAGAGATTGTTTTTTCCTCCTTTTTTTTCTTTTTCTCGAGAAACGAATGGATGATAACGAAAGTGACGTAGTTTGTAACGGTGAACATGTTGAAGCAGTGGGTCGCACTGTGTTTATGTACTTCCAATGTTTAGGTTATACTTTTCGGACATATCGGGGTTGTACGATCTTGGCGGAAACTCTACGAGATGGGGTGTGCAAGGTTAAGGGAATTATGAAAGTCGTGGCTCGGTGTTGTAATGCGTGTTTCCAAGGGGCTTTCTTATAAGGTTTATGTCGGAGGAAATATAACCGGTTGTCACGAATCACGTGTTACCACGGGAGATAGTGAAGACCAGGCGGCGCCCTGACAGGTCGAGCATTATCATAACTCTTATAGCAGAAGGG